CACCCTAGTCTGCTCTAACCCGCCCTGCGAGACCCATGAGACCGGAACCACCAACACAGCAACCACCTCTTCTGCCACCATGGGAGCAGAAAAGGTCTGCTCTAACCCGCCCTGCGAGACCCACGAGACCGGAACCACCAACACAGCCACCACCTCCTCTGCTACAATTAAAGCAGGACAAGTGTGCTCTAACCCGCCATGTGAGACCCATGAAACAGGCACCACCAACACAGCCACAACTGCATCATCAAACATGTCTACGCCGCGTGTGTGCTCCAATCCACCATGCGAGACCCATGAAACTGGGACAACTAACACAGCAACCACAGCATCGGCTAATATGGGAGGAGTCCAGCAGATTTGCTCCAACCCACCCTGTGAGACCCACGTGACCGGCACCACCAACACATCCACCCAGGCATCATCTAACATGAATGCAGGCCAAACGAACACCGTGCAGAGGGTTTGCTCCAACCCGCCCTGCGAAACACACGAGACAGGGACCACCAACACCCCGTCCACAGCCACCTCCAGCATGGGAGGTGACCAGACCAGCACAGCTACAGGCCAGGTCCAGAGGGTTTGCTCCAACCCACCCTGTGAAACACACGAAACCGGGACCACCAACACAGCCACCACTGCCACCTGCAGCATGGAGACAGGCGAAGGCACAGGTAAACCCATTTATACTGTTATTGCGTCAGCTCATTAGGGTAATGAAATACAGCAGTCCAAAAATGAGCAGTCCCGCTGAAACCTTTTGTTTGCTACATTCAGTTCATTAGCTTTTAATCATTTGTGTTGTGATGTTCATTATCTCATTTGTTCTTGCTCTTTTAACATAAACAGCAAAAATAGAAGCGCTGATGTGCCACATTTTAGATTCTTGGGTGGCATCCAGGACGTACAATGGATTTATTGTATGAAGTCAAAGTTAAATTATGTTTTTGTGTCTACCAGCAGCCCAGCAGACAGAGGAGGCAACAGAAGGTACCAGCAGCACAGAAGTGGCCTCCACCACTGCAGCAACTGGCATGGTTACCACCACCCAGGGCAGGGCCATCACAACTGTCACTCAGTCCACACCAGCTCCTGGACCCTCTGTACCTGTAAGTGCAGTAATTTACTGGCAGAATCATTAAATGATCTAATGACCACAGCTGAGTCATGGTAATCTCAGCAGATTTCTGTCTGAAGACTGCATATCTTTAGCTGATGGCATTATGTGGGAGACATCATTTCCTAATTGTTTTTTCCCCATTATGACCCATCTGTATGTTTCAACTTTGTGTCTCTCCAGTCGATCTCATCAATCACAGAGAGTGTGAGTACTGCTGCCAGCTCCACAGAGGAACCGATGCAAACTGATGAGACGGCATCAGCAGAAGCTGCACCTGCAGTGGAGGGAGCCACCGCGATGGAGACGCAAGCAGAGGTAAATACAGTGTAATGTCACAAAAAAGCCAGTGTGGGCCTGAAGTCCATTCAGTCAGGGATATATTGATTGTCTATATGACGTGCAATGTGTTCTCTCAGGGAGAAGCAGCCACAGCTACAGCCTTGAATCTGCCCTCAGAGCTGATGTCCGAGGGTCAGGGTGCCACACTCATGGTGACAGGGCTGTCGGACGAGGAGCTGGCTGTTACTGCAGCGGCAGAGGCTGCTGCTCAGGCAGCAGCTACTGAAGAAGCCCAGGCTCTCGCTATCCAGGCTGTGCTCCAGGCAGCCCAGCAAGCCGTAATGAGTAAGTTCAACTATAGTCATTAGTTCAGTGGTGTTCATTATGTCTTTAGTTTCTGATAATGACTTTAGTTGTTCTTTTATCTCAGACATGTTAGGATGTTACATACCTTGACATGTTTCGGCAGAAACTTCCACCTTCCTCAGAAGTGTCACTTGGTGGTGGTTGTTATGCGTCTTTATCAGATGGTGGCGTGACCCGCCTCCCTTATATCAGCTGATGACAGATCAACTGATGAAGACATAACCACCACCAAGTAACACTTCTGAGGAACACGGAAGTTTCCGCCAAAACATGTCAAGGTATGTAACATCCTAACATGTCTGAGACAAAAGAACAACTAAAGTCATTAACTATAGTCATTGTTCTCTGCTTATTTGGTTTTGATTTGAATTTGAACAGTAACATCATAGTTCAAGGTTTGTCTCTAGTAAAGTGGGGAAAAGACATGGAAAAATAAATGTATTCTTTGCTCTCAAACAGTTAACAACTGAATTATTCATCAATTTCTCACAGGGCTGTCATGGTTGCAGCCTGTTTAAATTCTTAACTATTTTGTATGTGTACAGATGAAGGTGATTCTACTGGAGAGAGCCAGCAACCCACCAACATCCCCATCATGTTGACCCAGCAGGAGCTCGCAGCGCTGGTCCAACAGCAGCAGCAGCTGCAGCTGCAAGAGGCTCAGGCTGCTGCACAGCAGGCCAGCGTGGACACAAACTTGCCCACTGAAGGTCTCGCCCCTGCTGACAGCCTCAACGACCCTTCTGTCGAGAGCAACGGACACAATGAGATGGCTGCCGCAGTCACCAGTGCAGTGGCATCACTGCTGCCACGCACCACTGCTGAGAGTAAGACTTGGTGTTTTTTCGTTTTGTTTTTTCCTCAGTAAATACCTTGGATATCTTTTTGTACAGTAGATTGACCTTTCTGTGTTGTGCCTTTCACTCCACAGCACTCGCTCCATCAAGCACATTTGCACCCTCTGTATCAGTGGCAAGTCCAGCCAAGCTGCAAGCAGCAGCCGCACTAGCAGAGGTCGCCAACGGGATTGAGGGAGAGGTGAGTTATTGTACAACATCTGGCTGGTTCAGCAAGATCAAAGAGAGAAGAAATGTAACCATGTATCATTTGTTTTCTCACAGAAGCAAGCCCCTCAGCCAACCCCCGTGAAGCCTGTTGTAAAAAAAGAGAACCAGTGGTTTGATGTTGGAATTGTTAAAGTGACAAATATGGTTGTCACACACTTCTATGTGCCAGGAGATGATTCTCAAGGAGATGTAAGTGTCTCAGGAGGCTCCTTTCATGCTTAGATGACTGTGTGTTAGTGTGCTCAGTGCATCTCTAATCTCTGTTTTGTTTGGTAGGATGACTCTGGCATCATGCCAGACTACAGCCAGATGAAGAAAATGGAGCTGCAGCCTGGAACAGCTTACAAGTTCCGTGTTGCAGGAATCAACGCTTGTGGTCGCGGAGCTTTCTCCGAGATTTCTGCTTTCAAAACTTGCCTACCAGGCTTCCCAGGGGCACCCTGCGCCATCAAAATCAGCAAGGTAAACACATCAGTAAAGCCCTTTGCCTTGTTTTCCTCTTTTTTTGGAATTGATATACAGGTGTGTAAACATGACGATAACACCAGCTGTTCTCATGAGCCATGCTTTCAGGCACCGCATAATAATCTATTTCTCTCCCCCCACAGAGCCCAGATGGCGCCCACCTGACCTGGGAGCCACCCTCAGTGACGTCGGGGAAGATAATCGAATACTCTGTGTACCTGGCTATCCAGAGCAACCAGACAGCTGAAGCCAAGGCCTCCACCCCGGCACAACTAGCCTTCATGCGTGTGTACTGTGGACCCAACCCCTCTTGCTTGGTGCAGTCGTCCAGCCTCTCCAACGCCCACATCGACTACACCACCAAGCCAGCCATCATCTTCCGCATCGCCGCCCGCAATGAGAAGGGCTACGGTCCCGCCACCCAAGTTCGATGGCTTCAAGGTAAGCAAACAGATTCACAAACCTAGTCCTAAGGCCTAGTCCACACGCACACAGGTATTTTTGAAACTAGGGTTTTCCCTCCTTCGTCCGTAAAAAACATCATCAACACACACGGTTTTAAAGAAGTCCCTGTCGAAATAAAAAGGCAAAACACAATTGAAGTGATGTCAAGAGCATGCCAAACCAACAGGCAGCGATATATCCAATCCTGGCACCACGCAAAGAAGATGATATTGGCCAATCAGAAGGCTACCTGAAGCACTGACCTCCATGGTGCAATCTGGCGCATCTGTTCCTTAATATAGTGGAAGATAATTTATGTGATAATGTAAAAATCCTGTTGATGGGGTTAGAGCCAGCACTACAAAGGAGGTAACAGTGCACACTCTGATGTTACAAGCTAAAAATGTATCTGTCTACACGTCACATTAAAAACAGAGTTTCTGAAAATCTTTGCCCTGGACAGAGGTTTTCAAAAGATGAGTTTTCAGTGATTTAAAATGTAGTTAGTGTGTGGATGAAAAGCCAAAACTCACACAGACAAGCTATGTTTTCAATAAACACATGTACGTGTGGACAAGGCCTTATACCCAAATAATAGTAAGTAAGCAGGTCATTATTGGACCAAGAGATATATGTTAACAATTTTTCTGCTCTGTAGAATCCGGCAAAGATGCTGCCTCTGCAAAACCGGCCCCCAAAAGACCAGGCACCTCTCCTGATACGTAAGTCCAGTATTGATGCCGCATACCGTGCACACAGGCCACACTGATGAATAAAACATGCAAACTCACTCTGCTTTTATGTGTGCTCTTGCAGTAAGGCTACTGGTCCAAAGAAAGCAAGGACGGACCAGTGAGGTTGCCCAGAGATCCCTCCCAGTCTTTTGTCCTTTTTCCACTCGCTGTCCTTTTATCAGGAAGACTGACCTTCACCCCTCCTTCACCTCCTCATCCTCATCCTAATGTCATCCTCCACCCTCAAGTCTCAGATCAAGACAGCATTGGAGGCAGAACAACCGTATGAAGCTGAGATGAAAGTCAATCTGAGAGATGTTTCTGTAGATAAAAACCCTCCTTCTTCCTCGTTCTGTTGGTTGTACTATTTTTAGAGCAACACAAACTTAGAAGCACATTATCTTTTTCAGTCACATCCCCTTCCATCGTTTAACATCTATTTTTGGCTTGTTTCAGTAGTTGAGCAGTATAGAGAAGCATTTACATCTTTCACAAACTGGGAGCCAGCCTGAGCGCAATGTTACCTTTTTTTTTTTTTTTTTGTCTCTGTTTTGTGAATCCTGGGGGGATGTAGAGAGAGACTACACAAAATGATGTACAGTGTTGAAAAAGGCTGTGGAGGCATTAGCTTAGATGAGAGGAAACATCGGTATGGATACAAATAAAGCACTTGTCCTCAGCAACAGAGGACATAATTTTTTTTTTCCTTTCCTTTTTGCTCAAATTTGCTTCATCAAGAACCAAGTCTGTAGTCATCGTACTGGACTCCAGTCTCCTGGTAATGTCATCACTGTGTGCTTTTTACCCCAAGATGAGGACTGGTTGCCGACACTTCAAAGTGGACAAAAAGAAAAAAAAAAGACGACGAAGAGATTTGTAGAGAATGAATGACAGACTTTGCTAGGACTGAGACTTGCAGCACACAAAAAAAAAATCTTGCAAAATCTTCCCAAAAAATTAGCAAGCAATGACGCAGAAGATCTTTTGTGTAGTTTATTTTTGTATTTTTTAAGCTTTTTTTTTCTCCTGTGTGTATGTGTATGTTGTGTGCATTTTTAAAAACATCACTTTTTTTAACTGTTGTTCATCCCCATAGTTTGTGTTCGTGGGAAGACCGGTGGCTGTGTTGAGGTTGCCACTATATTTTTAAAAATCTTCATTCAGTTGGTTGTATGTTCTTGTTGTTAACAGGTGGTTATGAACGAGAGAAAGACTTTTGTATTTGTTCCAAGTAGAACCTGCAGAGGTTATAGGACTGAAGGGAACTTTGAAGTGGACCCAGGGAGAGGAGAGTTTTTACTTTGTTTACTACTCAATGCTTGTGTTGCTTTGTTTGCCAAACATGGAATTTCACGGGGTATGAGGAAAACAACATCAGATCTTTTCATACCTTTTCCCCTGATATCCCTATCAGTTGTCCTACGCTTTTTATGCTCATGAATGTGGTGTCTAACCTCTTCTTTAATTTTTAGAATGGCAAATTATATTAGTAGACATATTTTCCCTATCCTATTGATGTATGTGAATCCATTTAATAAATTTTAATTTGTTTTTTTCCTTCCACGGCTCTGTATTTCAGACTACAGATGGTGTGCAAGCTAACTGTGATGTGTAAACCCGTATGTCTTTGAATGGGGATGTCTTGGGAAGAAAGCTTACATAGCCGGAGTGTACTCACTTGTAAATTAGTTCGTTCATAGAGCAAGAATAAAACAAACAAAAAAAAAACATCTTGGCCTTTTATATAATTACCTGTAACAAACTGTTTTTACATGTTGGTCATCTCTTGATTGCCTTTTGTGTCTTTACTTATAAAAGAAACAAATATATATATATAAATATATATAGTCTCCCTGATTGTTCTAATTTGCTTCTGTCAAGCTGATTCACTGTAGGAGTCTGAATCACTGCTAGGTTCATTACAATACAAGGATTTGTACAGGGAGGAGGTTTCTGACCGGACATGAGTGTATATCTACTTTGTAAGGGCGGATTCAGTTGTGATGGTAACGGCCAGGAAGATCAGAGCCAAGGTGTTCGCTTGCCGCCTTTTCTCCGGCTGGCGCCTTGGCTTCCGTTTGTGGTTTCTCCCGATTTCTTTCTAGAAATGAACTTTCTCTTCATATGCATTCATAATTTTTGTGTGTGTCAGTGTGTCTGTTGAACAAAACTAGACATGCATGCAAAAGCAGTGTATTTTAGTAGTGATGCCTTAAGTTAGACCATAAGCTGAAGGTTCTCAAAAAAAGAAAAAAACATTTAATGAGTTTGTTCCTCTCTCCATGTGGTATACAATTGTGTCCTTTCCTTCCACAGTACCTTTGCTGGGTCACTATTTTTGCACCCTTGTTAGATAGGTCATCATCAGCAGTGTCGAGGTCTCTCTGAACTTTTCCCTCCCACACTGGGACGAGTGCTGCTCTCAGCACTCACAGGTGTTGCGAGTTTCTCTCGGCTGTTTGCAGGTTATCTGGAAATGTCCTGTATTTTCCAATGTGTGTTTTTTGTACTGTAGGGAGTAATGTATCTTTTATCATCAAAAAATAAACATGTTAAACATATGGAGATTTTGTGTTTCTTATTTTTCACTACAAAGATTAAGAAGTGACTCAATCACCTGTCGTAAGCCACTCTGAGCCGCTCTCAGAAATGACTTTTCCACATCTAGATCCTCCTTTGCGCTTCCTTCAAAGTACTCTGCTCCTATTTCTTCACACCACTGCAGGGCCTTCCTGCCAGACACCTGCAGGGAGAGAGTCACAGTTCGAACATCAAACAGGGCTGACATGAAAGCAGAGGACGCGTAAAGTGCAACAACAATCTTAAAGTCACAAATTTAGTTCTATAATAAAGATGTGAGCAAGATGTGCCGTAGAAATGTTTGGTGACAAGCTGCAACACTGGGAAGTTATTTCTTACATAATGTAATATTGTACTATTAGAGAACAGCTCACAATTAATGAAATTTACTTTCGCACATTTGTCAACTCATCCTTAACATTTAGAGTAAGTGCATTTCTCTTATCAATTCATACAAGCAGCACCACACAATGGATTACTTACAAAAGCCTTTAACTTGCTCATAATCCTTTGTTTGTTTCTCTAAAGTAAATATGTCATTGCCATCGGAGTGACGGTCCTTTTGTCACTGTTTACAAACAAGATAGTCAAAATGCTTAGTCATTGTTAACAATGTAACGTGTTAATGGCTAAGGTTCTGATGATAGTGACTTAAATTGCATAAAGCTGCACTTCTACTTTTCCTGTATGGCGCATATATGAATTTCAACAGTACAAAGTTACACATGACTGTATGACAGAGATTGATTGCAAGAGACAGGGTGATATTTCCATTTATGTCTTTACTGTTTCTACTCTAATTTGTTGACAGACCGTGTCACTGCCATACACAAGGCTGTTTTACAGCACCACACAGCACACAAGGAAAACATACAATATTAGAAATGTAAATATAAAAAACACCCCTGAGGCAGAGCTGGACACGCAGTGCTGTGTGGGGAACTGCAGTGCAGTCTTTCTACATGTTCCTTCTCATCCACATCACAGCGGATATCTTCTCTATCGATGCAGCACAGAGAGAATCTTTTGAAACGTCTTATCCTTGAGATAAGATGCACCTATGAGCTATTTCAGAGAACTGGTTGATCAAACACTTCGCACATTCCCCTTCATTAATTAAAGTTGAGATTCACCTGAGAGCACGTCGTTAATTCAGGACACGTTTACAAAAATTGTTTGATAGAAATGTATGGGGAATATGTTTGACAGATTGGATTAATATGACAACCGGTTCAGCAATTTAGCATGTAATAACTTGTGAAATGAACTGATGCCTGGATGTTTTGAGGGGTAAAACTGTTCAACAGAGAACCAATATTATACATTTTGATCAGCATGACAAGCAACTGATGATGTAGCAAACAAAAATCGGTGATGGAGGAAGTATTCAGATCTTTTACTTAACTAAAATTAATAATTCCACAGTGCAGAAATGCTGTTACAAGTAAAAGTACTAAAATATACTGTAAGTATCAAAAGTAAAAATACTAATTATGCAGAATGGCCCATCTTAGAATATTATATATTATGTTACTAGTTTATGATTATTGATGCATTCACATGTTCATCACCTTAATGTTGCAGCTTGTGAAGATAGGTATCAAAAGACATAAGTATAATAATTATAACAACATTCAAATTACACCAGTTAAGGGACAGTTCACTCCAAAATCAAAAATACATAGGTTATTTTTCCTCTTAAATTTGGTTTTATTTATCAGTCTAGATTGTTTTGGTGTGAAGCGTGCATCTATGGACGAGGGGCTTGTGCTTGTGACAGCCCGAGATGTAAACATTAATGGCGTCATCCTCGGCTGAGCTGTAACATCAGTGGTGCCAGGTGAGCTAACAGTAGATGTACATTTCCTTCTTGTGATGATACGGATGGCTGGCATCATTCAGTTTGAAGGAAAATAGTTCCTACATGAAACTGCTCACAACAAGGTCTGTGGATTATCTTGAGTGGCCGGGTCATGATTTCTGGAAAGAGACATTGCTGTTGAGTTTTTCAGATGTATTATTTTGGCGCTTTGAGCACCACAAGCCAAGTGCCATTGAGTTCCATTATATTGGAGAGAAGGCAGACATCTCAACAGCTGATGTCTCCTACATCAAGCAACTCACACCAAAACAATCCAGACTGATAAATAGCGCCACAGGTAAGAGGAAGAATATGTATTTTTGATTTTGGGATGAACGGTCCCTTTAAACTTTTGCATCTTTGGTTCACTGCGTCACTTTAAAGGATGGCACTTTCACTGACCTCCCTGTCGCTCAGGTCAGTCTTGTTGCCCACTACAATGAAGGGGAAGTCGGATGGGTCCTGGGGCTCGCCCTGGATCAGAAACTCCTTCCTCCACTCCACCAGGGCAGAGAAACTGGCTCTGGATGTGACATCAAACACCAGCATGCAGCAGTGGGCTCCTCTGTACAGAGGTGTCCCCAGAGACTGGAACCTTTCTGTACCCGCTGTGTCCCAGATCTAAGGGAACATTAAACCCCCTTTTAATATCACCATGTACTGCTGCTCCTGCATGGATGTGTGGCGGTGTCTCACTGCGGCTGGGCAGGTGGACTGACCTGCAGGTTGACTGTGTCCCCGTCTATGGTGACTGTTTTGCAGAGGAAGTCAGTGCCTATGGTGGCCCGGTACATGTTGGTGAAGCGGTGATTCACATATCTGTTCATGAAGGAGGACTTTCCCACCCTGTGTAAACATCATACAGAGGTACAACACATATCTCTCTCCTTTCACAGACATTTGGCAATTCAGATTTTTCACACACTGGAAAATCCAGTAGGATTTGGACCGCAGGATTTAATAAATCTTAGAGTAAATGAAAGTGAAACAACCGTCCACGGCGCAGTAAACACAAGCTTTACAACAAGATACAATAATATTTTAAAAAAGAAGCAAGTCCACGTTACCCGGAGTTTCCTATGAGGATTATTTTCAGTGTCACCGGACTTTTTGTGTCGCTCATGGTCACATCTGTTGGGATTTATTTCCGCTGGAGCTTCAGCTGCTGCTGCCTTCAGGAACCCCTCGGAATCGTGCCTTTCCAACATTTGACGCACGTCTCAGTGGTGTGTCATGGTGATTTTAATCAGGGTTTTAGAAACATTGAGTCTGGGTCTAACAAATTAATATTATTTCAACTGTATTATAATAATAATAATAAGAAGAAGAAGAAGAAGAAGAAGAAAAGAAAAGTAAAAATTATAATATTTTTTAATGTATTAAGGAACACTACTATGTTTTCAAAAATGTGCTCTCTTTTACTGTTAACATAACTTATTGCTCCTACCTGCCTATTTGCACTATTGTATCATACCGCAAAACTTCACTAAATCACTGAAATCAAAAGGCCTATATTTGGGACAGGCGTCTATATGGGACAGGCCTTTAAATCCTTTTTACACAAAACTGCTGCTCAGAAAAGACAGGAAATACAGTCAAATTGTTTATCTAATTTCATTTACTTATTATCTATTTATGGTGGTGCAGTGGTTAGCGTTGTCGCTGCACAGCAAGAGGGTTCAGGGTGGGGGGGCTTTCTGTGCGGAGCTTGCATGTTCTCCCCATGTCAGCGTGCTTGTTCTGCGGGTCCTCAGCTTCCTCCCACAGTCCAAAGACATACGGGTTAGGTTAATTGGTGACTCTAAATTGGACGTAGGTGTGTGTCTCTATATGTCAGCCCTGCGATAGTCTGGTGACCTGGTAAGGGTGTACCCTGCCTCTCATCCAATGTCAGCTGGTACAGGCTCCAGCCTCCCTGCGACCCCTAACAAGATAAGTGGTTACAGAAAATGAAAGAATGAATGAATAACATATCAATTCTTTTAAATTTTTTGATCTGAGAACCCTTACGGACTAAAGGAATATGAATAATTTACAGGGTAATCGAGGAATGGACACATAATTTTAGGTAGCCAAGAACCAGGTCTATCTATCTATCTATCTATCTATCTATCTATCTATCTATCATTATTATTACTATTTCCTATACATTATTTTTATTTGATTTATTTAACTGTTCAACAATATTTTACCATTAATCTATTTCCTTGCGTGAATGTCCACAGTGAGTGTAAAAGCCCTCTCTACAATGCTAGGTATCAAAATCTGGTTGGGAATCCCTTGTGTCAAATTTAAGCATATTGAAAATATTAAAATATATTGAAAATACTGGTATTACTGTAAATCCAGATAGATCCAAATATGTAATTTTCTGCTGAACATAGATTCTTACATCCTGTGTCTTAAAAGTGTCCAAAGCTATCTGAGCTCTACAGGTGTCCCCTGTCTTTCTTGACCATGTGTCACTTTCAAATTACAGTTTTTTTAAAGAGCCTTTGAAGGCACCATGTGACCAGCTCTGTGTGGTTGGCACGTAATTTGACCTCTGTCCTGTCTGAGTCACAACCCAAAGACTCAGCTGCCTGCAGAATAAAAGTCACAATAATACAAAAAACCATAGATAGATAGATAGATAGATAGATAGATAGATAGATAAAACTTTTCAATAAAGTTGGGACAAAGTATAGTGAGGAGTAGGTGATTGTGCTGCAGAAATAAAAACACAAACAGCTCTAGCTTTAGCTCTATTCTGTTGTTACTCTATATTTTCAGAGATACAGTTTTTCATAAAAAAGGATGGATGACCTCTGTTCTCTTCTGTCTTTGACGTCACTGTAAAACAGTAATTTTGAATTTAAAAAAATCAATTGACATGTAATCTACTGTGGATTATATTGGACCGTTTCTTTTTGTACCACAGGGGGGCAGTATAGGCCTCAGGTGATTCACCTTTCTCAAAGGATTTCCTTTCTGTTGAGTCCTCCAGGTGGTGATGTCTACTTTACAATATGTCAAGTGATTCACTGTTTTTCACAATCTGTTTTTCAGCTGAAATTAAAGTTATATCATATAATTCTTTTAAAAAATGCTCAATATTCAAAGTAAATGCAGGAAACACATTCAAGTTCAAGTACCTACATTTGCCATTTTGATTTTTCAGCTTTTCTTCTCAATCAGAGTAATATGTAAACATTTTAAATTAATCTGCCTTCATGAAATACAATTAAATTTATTTTAAATTTATTTTAAATCGTGAATATCACAGTAAACCTTTAAAATATATTTGAAAATTCTGTAGGTTTAACAGTTAAAACAATACTTGGTCATAACAAAACCCATCCTGTGTAGCCAAACATAGTTAAAACCCAAAGAACTGTTTATTTAATTCTTTAAATTCTTAGTGTTAAAAGATGCCAAATATGACAGGATGGGTTTTGGATAAATGTGTATGAAATGACACATATGTCATCTAGAATATTTCTATTTGATGTAAAGATGCTGACATAACAAAACATTCTTTTGAAACTACAAAAAGATTCAGGTCTGAATGTTTCACTCAGTGTAAACATTATAAAGCTTTACTGAAGAGCTGAAACAAGCTAATACAGAGTATGCAGTATATTAATGATACTACCAGATAGATGATTTTAATAAGCCTAAAGCTACTTAAGGTGAAATAAAAGGGAAAAACTGGATGTTAAGAGATTAGCATAATGCCATAAAGTAAAAAAAAAAAAAAAAACAGGAAGCTGCACTACAGTAAAAATAAGTCAAATGAAATGAGTATAAAAGTGAAAAAAGGTGAGAGAAGTAATTAGTTACACACACTGAGGTAACGTTGACATGCTTTTGCATATCTGTGTCTTGTTGAGAGTCAGAGGTGCAGCAGAATACTGAGATTACACAAAAATCAGCAATATAAAACAACATGATATCTCAGTGAGCAGCACTGGAGTTCAAAGCTTTGGCCACTCAACCACCTCAACAACCTAACTTTATTAGTCATTGCAGGAGACATAAACTTATGTCACACTGCCTGAGCACAAAACATCACGTGAAACCACATGTGTTCTTGTTATTCCTTGTTGACTAAAAATGTAAGTAGAAAAAGGGGCAAAACTAAAGACCGATGGGGAGGACAGTGTGTGTGTGTGTGTGTGTGTGTGTGTGTGTGTGTGTGTGACAGAGAGAGAGAGAGAGAGAGAGAGAGAGAGAGAGAGAGAGAGAGAGAGAGAGAGCTCTCCTGGGCATGTTGCTGCCGCCCTGCATAGCAGAGATAAGACCACCGCCTACACAGAAGCCTGTTTCTTGGGAATTAGAAAGCTGTCCCCAAAGTCCACTGGTGACACACAACACCATCCGTCACCAGGAGCTCACACAACCTCCCAACTCAGCTCACACTGCATCTGTCGAGATACCGTCAACTGAGCGGGCAATGTCATGTGTGTGTGTCTGTCTGTGCATGCTTATGAGTTACATGACACGACCACGAACATGCTGCAATGTCCTGTAGGTCTGTGTGTACGTCTGTGCTGCTGTATGACAGCGAGCGGCGGGCCTGTAATTCCTGGCCTCCTCCTTTCATCTTGATAACCTCTTATCAGAGCAGAGCAGCCCGCTCACACAGTGGCAGCAGCCACATCCCTGCCCAGCTGTCCACACTGCCACAGAGACTTCATTTCACTCCTAATATCAGTCTCATTCACACACACTCAGGCAGCTCATGGCTCCCATTCAGTGTCATTATTATTATCCCTTAAGAGTCCAGTTAATCAAGTGGGGGGGGGAAGGAATAAACTTAAGTAGATAACACAGTAAATTAGCAGCATTTGTTCAGGGTTCCCACACATTTTCATGGTGAAAATTTCAAAACTTTTTCAGGACTTTTCAAGTTTTTTTTTGCCTCACTTAACCATTGTTCTTTAAACATATCAGATTCAAACTCTGTTAAAACATAATTTCAGCTGGCTGGTATACATGAAGGGAGAGGTGGAACATGGGGAGAGATTGAAGAAAACATATGTGATAGTGAACAAAATGTTGTCACGCATTGATGCATATTAGAGCCATGTTACGTCGTCAGCTACAGAAAATAAATTTGCTGTTATGTTTCATTACTTACACACAACAATTTCCAAAACTTTCAATGATTTTTAATAATTCCCTTAGTTTAGCTGGATCCTACCCAGCATGCACTAGGCGAGAGGCAGGCTACATATTGCACAGGTTGTCCTGAAATACATTCACACATTCAGGCAATTTCAAGTTTTCAATCCACTTTATCTGCAAACTTTGAACCCAGGACCTTCTTGCTGAGACAACAGTGCCAAAAGCAAGCCTGTATCCATACACCAACCAGAAAAATAAATTGCATTAGGGATGTTGCAGTGGCACAAGGTTTGTCTTCCATCACTGTCCTATCTTTTTCTGCCACCTCTCAAAAGACTGTCAGGAAATAAATGCCTAAAATAATATTTTAAAGAACTGCACTACCAGCAGCCTCTGTGCAGTCATGCTGTAAAATACATCAACCAGAGTTAATAAAATAATTCCTCACCCTGTTTGGTTTTAACTTTCAGCAGTCTATGCCCTCCTCGGTGAGAGTACATTTTAATTTCATGTAAAGGGGATCAAAAACAGGGATGAAGGCACGATTCTACAAAACTGAAGCTTTTATAGTTAAGAAGTGTGGTTTATTTGCCTGGTTTGGTTGGAACAATAATTAGTCTTCCACTGATGCTGTTCTGTTTGACACATCTTAAAAATATAAAGTCCAAGCTTTGTGTAAATATTGCAAAAATAATAGATAACAAAACCCCTTCAAGAAAAATGACATGAGGGGTGCACAGCAGCTCAGCTGGCAGAGCGGGCAGAGCTGTCTGGTAGAGCTGGTGTCCCACGTACAAAGTCACTGTTTTTGCAATAGTGGCTGCGTGTTTGATTCCATCCTGCGTGCCAACCCCTCTCTCTCTCCTCCTTTCACACTTAACCTGTCCTGTCAATAAAGGCAACAAATGATCTTTAAAAAACAACATGATTATATGAGACCATATAAAACACAAGTTGCTGTAGTCAGGGATCACTACACTAGCAGGTTACAGCTGATAAACCACTGAAAATGTCACTTCACACATGTTATGGGTTTCTCCACAAAAATATCAAGGACATGACCTGAGTGTCCTCAATGGTAGCGGCTACAGCCCTAATGAAGGGGGGCGTTCAGTATCCTACGTCTCTGTTTAGAGATGTAGTTATTCTGTGGCACTGGGGCACAGCAGTGGTTCACCTGGCAGAGGGTGCACCCAATGTACTTTGACTGTGTCCTTACTACAGAGGCCAGTATTCAAGTCTGACCTGGGTCCTTTGCTGCATTTTCTTCCTTCTCTCTTCCCCCCTTTCTTGTTAGTCTTTGCCTGTTTATCCACGAAAGGAAAAGGGCCCAGAAAATAATCTTTATAAAAAAAATCCTGGGCGTTATTTTTTACTGTAATCTGCAGTTTATATCTGTTAGTGCTGCGGGACACTTTCATGCCAAGCAACTGTAGAAAGAGTGAAAAGTTTAGGGAAATAAGTGACTCAGCTACAATTTTGCACCACTGTTACCTTGATGTAGGTATTGATTTGCATCTGACCTAACTGATGTGGTTTATCTCACTTCTTTATAAGGATGTCATTTCAATTTAACTGCTGCAAGTTCTTAAAATGCAGGAAAAAGGCCAAGTGTTGCAAATAAAAAAAGGCCTCAGCTCTTCCCAACTGTTTTTCTCCCCTGATTTCCCTGAAAACTGTAAATGAACAAAGAGAGAGGAAAGTCGGGGAGCTGCTTTGACTATCAAATGACTGGGACAGTGTCAGGCTTGTGCGCTGCCAGGCCATGTCCAGACCATATCTCTCCCCCATGATTGCAGCTCCTCTCCTGATTTGCATTACTGTGTTCCACTCTAAGCTTTGCTGGACCACAAAGAAATTGAGTCTTTGCATTTTATATTTGCTTTGTTCAAATGTCTGTCGACTCTTTTTCCATGTGGGCTCTGTCTTATCAGGGGCTGTATGCACATTTCATCAACAGACAAAAAGCTCCCATCCTGCTCTGCCTGAAAAAGCTGTGTGAAGTCCTTCATGTTACATCTATGTGTCGACATATACAAATAAAGATATAACTGCACAAAATAACTAACAGCTATAACTAATTGTTTGATATTGGGTATAGTTTGGTGCTGATATGCTTTTCAAAGTGGTGCGTGCTCTCTGGAAACCATCACAGATACAAACATGTTATCAGTACTGCACTGCCAGCACACACAGCTATAAAGGAAGGACAGAGGAACCAAGATTTAAAGCTGACATCTTCACCTTTTTCACTCATTTTAGAAAAAGCCTTTGACAAAACAACATTATTTGTGCCTAAATTACAGTTAGACATGATAACACATTGAGAGTTGTTACATGTTACATCTACCAGTTTTTTCTCTCTGGACCAAAGAGGTGTGTCTTTCAAAAAAGTTGTCCCCAACCCCTCCCACGGACTGTCTCTTAGCCCTAAACTTCGCTGGTGGCTGGAGAAGTTGTTCTTGTAGCCATCAGCCTACAGTGAGCTAGACGGTCGAGCTGTTCCACCTTCCACCTGGCCCCATACGTTTAACCCTGCGTCCTGCTGTACCGCTCACCTTACTCGTCTGTGACATCCACTCAGGTAGGTGACCCCTCAGCTTTTTGTCTCCTGTTGGTCTTATTCTTCAGCAGACACCAGAATATCATCCAGCTGCTTGAGTAAAGAATAGTCTTGTGAAAGCATATTCATGTGTTTAGGACTTTCACTGGTGAGGTTTCACCCAAGGCCATTTATTAGTTGATTGACTGGGAATTGTAGAGATATGAGAGGTGAGGACTTTGCTTTGAGGTGACGGAGATTCTGTTTCCTTTTTAATTTAATCATTTATCATTAATATTATTATTATTGGGTTTTTTCCCCTAAATTTATCACCATGGGTCTGTGTAAATTAGTGATAAAATTAATTTGGATCAATTATCATCATGATCATTATTCTTTTAGGTGACTTGGGGTTAAATTAAATATCTCATCCTTTTCATGTTAAATGTATTAATATAAATAAATGCCCACTCATTCATCTTTCGTTTAGGATAATAATTAAATCTCAAGTTCATTAAGGTAATATTTGAAAAAGCAGTTTAGTTTAAAATAATTAAATCTATATAACTGTGTTTTTACTTCTGGATTCCTGAGTGTAATCTCATGTGATCGGCTCTCCACAAAATGCCGTTTCACTCTGCCGTGTTTTTACATTTGTCATATTTCAAGTCTAACAGATTTCTATTAATCAGATGAGATTTAAGTCATGTGATATCAAGCTGGATATATTTAGCATTATAATAATGCTGTCTATCAGATTTTCTCAGACTTTATCAGATGCTATCAGCCTCTTCTCTTTCCTCTTCTCTTTCCTCTAAAGATATGGAGCAAGAGCGGCCTTGGGTCTGTTATTGTTATATTCATAATATTGCTTTGACGTTCTGCACTTTTATTATTTTATCCACTTTAATCAGTTTTTTTACAGCAGCAATTTTAAAAATATTTTTAAGGGCAGCAAATGGGCTTTTCATCTCAAGGACTAAAAATTGTAACTTAACTGTAGTTATGACTTATTTCAGCACCACTGAACAATTACTTAATAAGAATACCACTCAGAAATTGAGAAGCCTGGCGTGAAAATGACACACAATCTTCGGGCAGAGTGACAGAAGTTGCTGTGAACATTTTCAATTAGAAAAAATCTCTTTTTTTAGCTGGAGTGCAGTGTTGTTTGTCCACCCTGCATGGCGTCCCAGAGGACACATATTTTGCATTCTTGTAACTGGCACACCTATTGTAGGAAAGGCCACTGAGTAACCGTTTGGTCACTAGCTGCATCACTACGTTTATAGACCCATTTATTTTTAGTTTTTACTTTCAGCCACAGTCAAATGAGGATCCTAGAAAAGGAAGTTTGAAGAAGCCTGCTGTCGAGAGATCGCGTCCCTGATAACTTCAAGTTTCACTGGTTATTATGAAGTGAAGAGTGTGGTGATAATGTATCTGCTTCAATCAAGAGTAAATCAGATGCAGTTAATTGTGGCATGCATTACCACTGCTGCAAAAAATAAAATCTGATTTCAGCTTTAAGTTTTTAAAATATACTCCTGACAGGATGCATTTGGCAGAAATCTTAAAGCGCTGTAGATTTCTCATATCCCCCTGTGGTTGTGCTATAGGTTGAGGTTTATTCTGTCAGCATGGAGGATTCATCAGAGCAGTCCCAGTGGGTGTCTCCAGCCCTGCTCAGCTCAGACCCTCTGGCCAGTTTCTCCTCTGATTCTGGCCTGCTGCCTCCAGGAGATGATGGAGAGGCCTTCTTCTCCAGCCAGGACACAGACTACACCAACCTGCCCTCCTTCTTCACCAACCCGAGCCACAGCCGAGCACCACCCACCTACAGACACAGCTCGGGTCAGTGCTCCCACCCACTGTTGCCCATCAAATCCATCTTCTCATCCAAGATCCACATCATAATCTGACTTAATCTGTTCTGTCTGTCCAAAGTTCGACAGGTCTACACCTCACCGAGCCTCCTCAGCAACCTCCAGCTGCTGGACGGGCCTGGCAGCCACCTGAGCTCACCCTACAACCCCCCTGCCTCCACCTGGAGCGGCAGCCCCCTCACCAAGACCCCACTGCACTCACACACCTCGACCTCCCTCTATACCCCCAGCGTCACCTCCACCTTCACCACCTCCAGGGATGGATACTTGTCTCCAAGCAGAGAGGGCAGGGAGAGCCCCCGGCTTCAGGAGGCCCTGAAAGCCGAGCGCCTGAGCCCACTGGGAGGGTTGGGAGCCAGCAGCAGTTTTCTGAATCTGACTCCTGCTGCTGGAAGTGTGTACACTCCATCGTCCCACTCCCATCCCCACATGTTGAGCCCCTACAGCTCATACATGACAGGCCCACAAGACTACAACTCTACTGCCCTCTACAACAGCCCTGGAGCGTGGATCAGCCCCTCATACTCCCCTAAACTCCGCAATAAGATGAGGATATCCACTCCAGGTGAGAATTTTCTCTGATTTCAGATCAGTCAGTGATCTAAAAATTAAGATCTTTAAAATTTAGACTTCATTGTTAACCTTGGAAGCAGCAATTAACAAAACAATCCCACCACAAGGTCCATTTAGTGGCTGCTCTGGAACTTTCAGTCGTATCCCATGACCTCACTCTGCCACTGCACTTGGCTATGGTCAAATTACTCCTAAAAATTCAGGTCAACAATTAACTTAATTCTCTTTTTACTTTTAAGCCAACATGAACAAGAAGTCCTTAAAGTGCTCAGAAAAATGTAAATTGGAAAATCCACAATGCATACATGACAACTGGGCAAATCCATCTGCTGAGAAATGTGACTGTAATGTCATGCATTTTGTAATAACCTCTTGATACACCAGGAAGTTCACTAATAACAGTGTACTTTTGATTTTGAACAGAGGCCAGAGAGTGTGTTAACTGCGGAGCCACAGCTACCCCTCTGTGGCGTCGTGATGGTACAGGCCACTACCTGTGTAACGCCTGTGGACTGTACCACAAGATGAACGGCCAGAACAGACCACTAATCCGACCCAAGAAGAGACTGGTACGAGACACACACCAACACACCTTTCTGATACACAGATATAGATGTGCTTTGTGATGTATTCAACAAATAATAAACAATTGCTTAAGTAATACATGAAAGTAGCAGTTGAGTTTTATTTTGACAAAATTAAGTGTATAATATTAGTAATATTAGTGCATAAAAATTCACCACAATGCAGCAAAGTAAAGTGTTTCATGCTCAAAATTTTCTTACAGAAGACCCCAAACCCCCCACCTCATGTATGTCCCCCCAAATGTTAAAACAAAACCTACACCCTTGTTTTAGATTGTCAGCAAGCGGGCAGGCACACTGTGTGCCAACTGCCACACAAGCATAACAACACTGTGGAGACGCAACGCCAATGGAGAGCCTGTGTGTAATGCTTGTGGACTCTACTTTAAACTGCACAATGTAAGTCAGCCTGGATGAAACTCACAGCTATATTCTTCTTTTTTTTTTAATCCTCCCAAACTAACCTAAAATCTGCTTGTAAACAAAATCTCTGACTTTGCTCTTTTCCCAGGTCAACCGGCCTCTTACCATGAAGAAGGACTGCATCCAAACGCGCAACAGGAAAGTGTCCAACAAGAACAAAAAGAGCAAGAAGGCCGCCATGTTTGAGCAGTACTCTGAGCCGATGCCTCAGGCTCCCTCTCTGGATGACAACTGCGGGTCATTTTCCCTCGGCCCCGGGACTCTCCTCACCTACAGCCACACACCACATCTCATCCCAGCACCATCATCCCTGCATCCCTCCGCCTCCTTACAATACACACACCACCTCAACACTGGCATGATGCCCACGCTGGTCTGAAGTGAAGAAACAGGCAGCTGCAAGCTGTACAGGTTTCGGAGTCAGCACGCTTGGTTGCCAGCTATGTGTGTGAATTTGTATATATGTGTTTCTACACTGGATGACTCATGTTTTCTGTTCATTTTAACTGTATTTTAGTAGATATTATCAAGTCAGATAAAATCACTCTATTGAGGTTGTTGCACATGTAAACACACTGATAAGAGAATTGTTTTAGTTGTAAATACAAACACAAAGCAGGATTCGGCTGCCTCAGTCTTCATCCCTTTTCAGTTATTCATAATGTGAAATCATACTTTGGTGTTGTGTTACACGGGTCTGTTTTGTATTTGCAAAGTTCCTGTTACCATATTGAAACTCTACTGGGGAAATAATAAAATGTGTGACTTATTCGGTTGGAGTTATGACGGCTTTTGTTTATGATGTCATTTGAATTCCCAGTTCATCTGTTCAGCTCAGTGACGTGACCACAGTAAAGCCTCCTGTGTAGGGTCATTGTACTCCCCTGCTCAGGTATAATGGTCTCTTTGTACAGGCAGCGCTCCACTTTGACAGTGTAATTGTACATAGCGGGTATGCAAATTCTCCATTCTGCAGAAGTGACAAACATTCAACTAAAGTGCAACACTTACGCAGTGGTTTTATATTTAGACCAGCGCTGCCAGTTGATGAGCAACTGGGCTTCAGATTCAATTACACACAAAGGCAAGGTCTTGTTTGTATTCGTTATTACTCATCACTGTGTGTGCTCATAAAGGGGGGGTTTTCATGCATAACACTCTCATGCTTGAATACAAAGGACAGAGAAGAACTTAAGATAAGTTACAAGTTGTTTCATGACATCACAGTTTCTTACATGTGTTTTACTTGTTCCTAAAGAGGTCAAAGAGAGAGCTAAACACTCAAAACATTAAATGCTGAAAGAAGTATTCATATTCTGGAAATTTGATACCACAGAGTAAAAACATTCCAGGTTAAAGTCCTGCACTCAAAATCTTACTTAAACGAATACTTCACCCACATGCCTTGCATACCTCCACGGAAAATGGCCAACATATTGACTTGTAGTTTGATTTTGGACCACATTTTACAACGGCAAAACTATATAAACACATCAGTTTACAAACTCTCACACAACTCAACATGCAGCATAATCCAAGTCTCATTTATCCAGTCCTATGCTCGGTACTTCCCAAACACATGAATTTTCACTAAAACCTTACTGTTTAAAACTGAACTGAAAGTGAAACTTATCTACGTTCTCTTTAAAGCCATCTCTAACGCTACGGTTTTAGCATTTGTCATATTAAAGGTTAGTTATTACTGATGCATAAACATGTAAAAAAAAAGCATTTTAAAGAAGTGGTTTAATCTGCAACAAGTACAGGCTTTAGAAGACACTTCGAATCTGAAATAATGATGTGTCTGATTCCTTTCTACAACTTGCACAATCAGGCAAGTAAGCTGCTAGATTTACTAACCTGACATGGCATTTATTGCCCCGGGGAAATCGATTCTCATTGTTGAGCGCTGTCAAGGAGTAAAAAAAAATAGTATTATAAAAAAATGTGACAGAGTAGAGGCGCAAAAAATGGAAGTACACAACTGAAGTACAGTACTTCAGGAAATTACACCACTTTTAATGACTATACTCATAAGTGACCTTTTCAAAATATGTCTTACATCATCACAGAATTTCTATATAGATGTCAGCAGTACTTTAGTTGTCCAGACATTTAACTTTCTACTGTGATTTTCTATATCTAGCTAATCCAGAGATAACGGTTTCATACTGATCAAACTTGTAACCATGTCTTTGTAACTGATTAGACTAATCGCATTCTATAAGATGTCATTTTCCTCTAACTGCTATTTCCTCAGTAATGAAATTGTATTTAAAATATGGGCAGCAATGCAATGGTATGTGTGTACCGTGTATTTGTTATGCTGAGCAGCAGGGCTGGGGTTGCTCACTCAGGACTGGGAGATAACTGATAGGTTATCACTGAGACCACAGACGCCAAAACCATCCACCTGCTGCTGGCACCGCCACACTCACACTCCCTGTCAGTTAGTCAGTGAGGGGCACCATGTACACACTAGGTACGAGGACATGACGCCAGAAAGAGTTCACATAGATCGTTGGTATCGTCTGACAGCACTAATGGGACTGCTGTTGGTGGATTTATTTTATAAATGTCTTTATTGGTTTTAGTTGTAAGGAGGATACACATGTTGTAAAAGAATAAGGATAAACTCTATTTTGTTGCTCAAATGAGTTCCCTCATTGTTTAAAAATCAATGTGTCACGATAAGGTCAAATGAATCCAGCCAGGTTTCATAATCTGTGGGCACACACACTTGAGACAAATGTATAAATTATCAAACACATTGCTGAGTGTGTTTTCACACGCTGATTTGTGCATGCTTGACTGCAGACCTCAAGGAGAAATAAGACTTTCATTTATGCACGGCCCTGTGAACATCTGGGCACGCCACCCACTAATTACACTACACACACACACACACACACACATACACAGAGTCTGTCCTATCAGTGTTTTGAGGATAAACCAATTCTGAGGCAGATATTTTGATTATAAGCATTTTGCCTGTTGACATCAGAGCAGAACAAAACCATTAAGTGGGCGATATTTTCTTAATTTCATTAGCAGTCAGCCATTGTTATGCTTCACTGCCCTGATTCCCCTGGGACCGTGTTGATGGGAATTTGGTGTATTAATGCCCCTTGAAGTCACAGCATGAAACAAGGGGTTTTCTATGCGAGTCCATTTACCATATTTACCCAAAGTTTATCCTAAACCACACTAAAGAAGAGAAACCTTCAAAGTCCGCATCGTTTCCCTCCTCAAGAATGATCAGAACTAATGGAAGAATCACGAGACAATTAAGTGTATAAAAAAAAAAAAAAAAAAAAAAAAAAAGACATGAGATGTAAAAAATGAACTGTTTCTATCTGCTGTTTATCTGCTGCGGCCGCCAGCTCTGCTCTGGGGAAATGGCAACAAATGACGGGGATAGATTAGCAACCACAGGCCTGCTCAAGTTCAGTCACAAGGTCGTCCGTTAGTGGCCTTCTCTCTCCTGCTCCTTCAGTGTTTGTCTCTCTTCCCACTCAGCATGTTCTATCCTACAGAGCTGTACAGTGCTTTTAGTTGTAGTATAAACTATTACAACAGGGGAGTGATTGGATGAGTTGTTTAATCTTCGACACTCTGGGAGACTTTAAAATATAGATTATAACCATCTTTGGGCAAAGTCATGCTTTGATGGTGTGTAATTTACAGCCTTCCTGGAGGAGGAAACAGATGCATTTCTGACTAACAGAACACATGTCAAAACTGCGCTGTCATATCTACAGCCAGAAAAACATTAGAGGTAAATGAAACCACCACTGCATGATGTGTAGTCTTGTTGAAACATGTGGTGCTCGTGCACCCCCCAAAGGTAAGAACACATCACTGCAGCTCCAGTTTCTCACCAACTGACACAGGATGTAAAACCCGTCACACTGCAGTTTAGAGATAACACGTGTGTGTGTGTGTGTGTGTGTGTGTGTGTGTGGAGTTCATATAGTCATGTACACTGTTGATGCATATTATAATGGTACTGAGCTGAATATGAATTGAGGAAGGCTTTACACCACTGATACTTAATTTAGGGCCTGCAGGCCAGATAAGGTGCTGCCAAACACTTTCTAATTTACCATTAAAATAAACTGATTCACACTGGAGGCTGTTTTTTTGTACTTTGAATACAAATAAGGTGTCAGAGTGTGTAAAATGCATAAAAATAGAGGTTGTTTATCCAAAAAAAAGTGCCGGGGAAGGATCCTCCCAGACGCCCAACAGAGGTGCAGGCTAAGCCCTGAATGTCCTCAAATAAAAATGCCCCTGTGCACACCTGACTAGTGCGAGTCAAAAATGTTTATTTATTCTATATTCATTCATTATCCATATAGCTAATCCTATTCAGGGTCGCAGGTGGTCTGGAGCCTATCCCAGCTGACACTGGGCGGGAGGCGGGGTACACTCTGGACAGGTCACCAGACTATCACAGGGCTGACACAGAGACAGACAACTATTCACAATCACATTCACACCTACGGGGAATTTAAGGTAAGCGATTCACTCAGCCTGCATGTCTTTGGACTGTGGGAGGAAGCTGGAAATCCCAGAGACACCGAGAGAACACGCAGACTCCACACAGAAGTTCCTCAAGACCGCAATCGAACCCACAACCCCCTTGCTGTGAGGCGACAGTGCTGCCCCCTTTATTACACATACTGATAAATATATGATAAACGGTGGTTTATTAACTGGCCACTTGCCTCCCAACATTTTGCAAAAGTAGCTCCCGGGCAAAGCAAGTTAAGTGTCCATGCTTTATATTTTTGGATGTCTAACACTAGGAGGAGTGAATCAAGATTCTAAAATAAAATACTTCTTAAACTGAGATTCTGTAAATTTGGACATATTTTGGGTATAGCTTCTTGTGCAGTCTTGATGATCACATACATGTATGTTAGTACAAAGAACATGATGTGTATGAGTTAAGTTTATTAAGTTAAAGACATTTTTAGTGTATTCCGTCATGTAAAAATTTGAATTTATCCTTTTATATAACTTACAAACTTTGGGGATATTTTTGGTAAATGTATAATAAGTATTTTATGTATATATCCTACTTTCTATATATGTAATGTACTCAGTTATGTATCAGCATGTTGGTATATTTTATGTATAGGGCTTATTATCCATTCCGGTATTGACCGAGATAACGGAGTATGAAACTTCTCTTGTCAAACGATACCTGAATCCATCCTTTTTGCACCCAGGCCTGTGAAAAAAATGATTATTTGTATGGTCTTGCTTGCTGCCAGTCACTGATGGCAAGCATTCTTAGATTTAATGCAACATGATTGGCCCACTTCCACCGCAGATATACAGTCTGTCGTGTGGTGAAGTCAAATGCGGAGTATTTGATAGAGCTGTTTCTACAACCAGTGACATAATAAACCTTATAATTTGAACACTTTCACAAAAATGCATTCGTGTAAAAATAATTTGGATGCGGAGTGGTGGTGGCATATTCAAGTGTATTACCACACAAATTAAACATTCATTTCATTATTATAAAACGTACTTGGCCATGGTCTTGAAATAGACCCACATAGAGTTGCTCAGTAATAGTATTATTTGCAAGTACTCAGTTGTGTCATTGGACTGTGCGGTAAATTTTGTTGTGGTTGTTTTGGTGGATGATGTCCTTTGTTTCTTTTTTTGTATGTCTATATTGTATAAATATAAAATTTTGAATTAACAGCATTTTGACCTGACAGAGGATCCAACCGGGATTGTACCAATGTAA